GCACCGCCCCCATCAGAACAGCCCTCATGGGTGCTGTGGTGCCCAAGGCAAACATGGAGGGCAGTTCTGAGCAAACAGGGTCTTTGGTGGTGGAAGCAATTCCTAGCAGAGAACCTGGGATGCTGGCCCGGTACTGATCCATCAATGCCCACACTTGACCTCTTGGAGCACGGGCAGTCCTTCTCATCCTGTGAGTGGCAGCTTTCTGGCCTGAGCCACGGGCACTTGTGGACAGAACACATTCTCCTTGCTATCTGGTTTCCATGGAGTCATTCCGCTTCTTTCTGACCAACGTGGCCTAGACTGACAGACTCCCTCAAGACTGCTGCCACAGTCTTCTTTTAGGCAAAGAAAAAAAAACTATTCTTGATTGATATTTGGTTCCCTGGCTATACCTTGGACCTTGGGTCAGCTTCTCTTTGTAGGAGCAGTAAGATGTGCCCCCGCCCCCTAGCGGAGGCCAGAGACAGAGCATGCCATGGCTTGGCCACAGGCATGTGTGGGCTGTGCAGTTGGATGTGCCCACATTCCTCCAGTCTTTGGAGAAGGGCCTGTGGGGCAGGGAAGGAACCGGAAAGAGGGAGGCAGAAGTGCATACAAATGGAATGAGGGAGGAGGCAAGCATGAGAAGGAGTGATCGAGATGGAGATGGAGCTCCTCTGTGGGTGAGGCCAGGGAGGTTGTCCCTGGTCCCTGCCCATCTCCAGAGGTGCCCCACTGCCTAGTCCCCACTCTCCTTTCACTGGCTCAGATGGGCTGAATATATTCAGACCTGTCAGCAATACTTCGAGCCTCGGGCACCAACATGAAGCTTGTTTCGTTTTCCATCTCCGGGATTCAGAACCCCCTTCATAGTGGCCAAAGCCCGCCAGGCCGTGAGACTGTGTTTAAAGACCCTCTCCGTCTGCCCTGGCCAGGGTGGTGGAGACCCCCTGCAGTACGGAAATAACTGGTAGCTCTTGCTCATGGACAGTGGTTGCCAGAGCACCAGAAGCATTCTGGGAATTTGGATCAGTCGTCTTCTCTGCAGTAGCCCCTCCGAGGGAGGGAGCAGGCAGTAAGCACTGACTCCCTTTTGCCAGCAGAGCCCAGAAGGATGGCGGCTGCCATTTCGGCCATCCGCTTTTGGCCTGCGTTTTATTTTTAAATGTATTTGCACTGCTAGGGAGTACCTGCTGACAAGGATGAGATGATACATTGTATCGTAGCCAAGGGAGGACTAGAAAAACAGGCTTGTGGGGAGAGAGTGGCCTGCCTCCTTCCTGGTCATCCTGCTGAGAAAACCTCCCATCCATAGGCAGTATCTGCTCCTGAAACAGGGACACCTAGAGGAGAATAAAGCTTGGGAGCTCCAGGCACATAGTAGGTTCTCAATAAAAGCATGCTGAATCCATGAATTCAGGCACTGAATCCATGCACGTGCACCTGTGCACATATCATGGGGGTGGGGGCACAAGTACTCCAAGAGAAAGCAGTACACCCCAGGTCTGCGTGCCAAATCCCTAGCCTGCATTGAAAAGCATGTTGTGAAACTCTAACCTGAGTTTGGGGTTTCTGTAAACCAGCAAGAAGCCCAAGGGCTATGAGCGTGTCTCCTCCCTAGGCAGAGACATCCAAGCTGTTTGTTCCTGGATTCTGTGGTTTCCGTGAACTAGGAAGGGAACTTTGGTGCATGAAGCCAGCACCCTGGGTGGTAACCAAAAAAATAAAGGAAAAAAGAGGAAATAAGTAGAAAGTTCAGCATCCAAGTTGGGACTCACTCAGCTCCACATCCTGGGAAGACTCTCGCATCCTCTCCAGCCAGATTCAGGGCTTCTGGGAGATGGGAGGAGAGAAAGGGTGATGGTGTGACAGGGGGTTGAGACAGGGAGACACACACACACACACACACACACACACACACCAGGCGCTCAGTTGAGTCCACTAATGCACACCCACCCGCCCTCTGTTACCTCCAGGCCAACCCCAAGCCACTGACCCCAGGTCTATTTAGCTGGTGGCCACATCTTTTCCGTCCCCAGTCCCCACCCCGCAACCTCAGTGCATCAGCGAAATCATCCAGCAGGTGGTTTCTTCCCCCACTGCTGGCCTGATGCTTACTCCTCCCGGGCTCTCTTTGCTTTGGAGTGGCTCACGTCTGGGTACCGAAAGCAACGTTCTTCTTTCCAACTACACGCGGGCAGACTCTTGGCCAGGAGGGTTTTATTGTTGTCCTTGGGTCTGCTTGCTTTAACCCTGAGCCACGTCTCCACTCAGAGCAATGGCAACCCCTGTGCCTGGTGAACTCCTTCATCGCTGTCGGCTGGTCCTCCCTCGCCAGCCTGCAGACTGCCAGGTGAGCAGTTCAAGCACCTGCTGACCGGGGAGCCTCTCCCTTGAAGGAAGGGGGGCCAGGGGAGAAGAAGTGTGTGTATGCAGGACTGGTTGGACCCTATGTTCAAGGCCTATGCACGGTTGCTGAATATTCATAGTCCACAGTGGGGGAAGGGGGCCAGGAATTGCCAACTGCTCACAGCAGGACATTGGGAGTGGGCAGGGTGGGACTTACGTCTGGAGTGGTCACTCAATTAAAAGGATAATCAAAGTAGTCAGTGCGTGTGGAGTTGAGGGATGATTGAGCCACAGTGCCCTCCTCAGCCTTGGAATGCCCCTCGCTTTTGATCACTCACCTTTCCCTGGCCCCTGGCTGAACTCAGACGAAGCGCAGAATTGTTCCCACCACAAAGGTCAGGACGTCCACTCATACGGTTGTAGGCACAAAGGGCATCTGGTGAATTATGGATTAGGACGAGTACCGTCAATGCTGAAGAGCCCAGTGAAGAAGTCCAGTGTCAGAACCCGGGGCTTTGTGGCTACTGAGAGCTCTCTCTCTCTCTCTCTCTCTCTCTCTCTGCCGTTGTTCTGCTCTCATTCTCTCTTTGTTTCTTCCTCTTGCCCGCCCCTCCCTTACTCTCTGTCTTTCTTTTATTCCCACTGTTTCTCTCCCTTTTGTCTCTCCCTTTCTCTCTTACCTCCTCTCTCCCCCTCTCTTCCTCTTTCTCTATCGCTCTGGCTTCTGCCTGCAAACATGACTGTCATGGGCGAAGACAATGACTGGCGAGACCCAATGCCTCATCTTCTGAGTTCGCCAACCCTAATGAAGGACCCAGCCAAACTTGCTCCCAGAGCCCATTAGGAGGCAGAGGGACACTGTCGGACCGAGGAGGAGAGGACAGTCCCAGGGGGTTTCCAAGGCCATCATCTTTACGGACGCAGACGCACTCATCTTATCTTTCTCCTGTGGAGTGGCTGGTGGGTTTAAACCACAGATCATTTGGGTATCAGTCCAGTGCTCATCACTGCACCACCAGGGCTGCTCCTTAGCAAACCCAGAGGAAAGTAATTCGCTCTCACCACTTGCATAATCGGCCCCAGAGAGTAGCTCTGATTGGCTGGTTCCGGACCAATGTGATCCCTGGGCTCCCAAGCTGAGTGGCTCTGAGTTGGCCAAGCAGCCAGTGGTCCAGAGAGCAGGATGTCGTACCGGAAGAAGAGCCAGGTGGAAAGAGCAGTGCCCACCGGTCTCCCACCCTGTCCTTACACCTTCATGCTGAGCTGAGACGTGGTGGAGCCCAAGCCTGGCCTGAAGCCTGTAGGACAGAGGAGAACTGTCCTCCAGCAAATCCAATCCTGCCTGGAAAAATGACTCCCCGTTCCTGGAAATCTCTCAGCACCCTCTCCAGGGCCAGAGCAGCGGGGACAGGTCTCCTGAAGAGCAGGTGTGACGATGACCTGCCACCCCGGTTGACTCAGCCGGCTGAGGAACCAAAAAGGAGGGGTTAAAGGGGGTGCAGGGGTTAAGCGATTGGCGGCTCTGGCTCAGAGAAAGACAAGGCTTCGCTGACGATGCACAGCCTTGGACATGCAATGGGGCAGCCCTCCTGCATCCCGCAGGCTCATGGCAACAGAGTGGACTCTCTGTTGGTGGGCTTGGGGGTGGCCTCCACTTCTCGGTGAGAGAAAGGGGATCACAGTGCCCAGCACACAGGGTTGTCGTCGAACAGGATGGGGGTTGGGGGTCACCACTGCCTGAACCTTGATGACAAGTCCTGGGAAATGGGTGCACCCAGGGGCCGTCACAGGAGCTCCGGTGGCAGAGTGGTTATTCCACGGGCAGGAAACCGCCAGCCTCTCTCCGGGAGAAAGTCGGGGTTTGCTGCCCCTGTAAAGAGTTTGTCTCAGCAACCACAGGGCCCATTTTACCCTGTGTTCAAGAGTCACTAGGAGTCCGCATGGGCTCCATGGCAGTGAGTGAGGGGAAGCCACCCTGCTCTCTGGAACCTCAGGTGCATTCTTGGTCGCTCTGCGACCAAGGACGACAAAGTGAAAGGCCGCCCGGTCCTGCCTCACACACGTCACTCTACACTGCACACCCTCCAGCCTCGGCACTCATCTTCCTCAGCACTGTCCCCAGCGATAGTCTGTCCCAAGCTGTGGGATTTATTGGGCTGCTAACTGCAAGGTCTCCATGAGTCAGAATCCACTCTATGAGTAGTCACTAGGTTGGCGGTTCTATCCCACCAGCCTCATTACGGGGGAGAAAGATGTCTGCTCACGTAAAGATTGACAGCCTCAGAAACTCCACAGGGTGGCGATGAGTCGGGGTGGGCTTGATGCCAGTGGGTTTGGTTGGCTTGGTTGCCTTGGGTTTACTTCCATGTGTAGATCACCAGGCCTTTCTTCCTCATGTGCCTCCGTCTTGGACACGCCATTGTAGTTTGCCCACCGAGAGTGACTCCACTGACAGGTGAAATACTGCTGGTCTCCCAGCAACTCAGGGTGACATCCCAATCAAGGGGTGTGGTGGGAATGTGACACAGCCCTGGGGTTTCAGAAGCATGAGACGCTGCTTTGGTGGTGGCGGGGGTGGGGTCTCCACTCCCCATGCCCAGCCCCCAAGACCTCACTCAGCATCTCCTTTCTCTCCACCTGCAGGGGTGTACACCTTCCTGTCCAGCACTTTGAAGTCTCTGGATGAGAAGGAGCACATCCATCGTGTGCTGGACAAGATCACAGACACCTTGATCCACCTGATGGCCAAAGCCGGCCTGAGCCTGCAGCAGCAGCACCGGCGCCTGGCTCAGCTGCTCCTCATCCTCTCCCACATCAGGCACATGAGGTGAGGCGCCCCCTCCCCCCAGTTTCAGAGTGCAGCTCCCCCATGCACTTCACCTGCTACAGTGGCCGTGCCAGAGTAGGTGGTCATGGGAAGCAGGATGCCCTGACTCTGATCACACCTGAGGCCTGGGGCCTGGTTCCGAGGATGCATACCCACTCTGGGAGGACAGAGGGAGAGGCAGGGTTCTGCATGGTCCCTGGCAGGTGGCTGACACTCAGTCTGAAATAGAACCTGCTGGAAGTCTTAGCGGAGTGGGAGAGGGTGAGGAGTCCAGGGGGCAGGTGGGATGGGGCACTGTTGGGTGGTTTGCTTGGTCCAAACCCCATCACTCCCATCTTTAGAAGACACTGTCCCCACCCCTGCCCCATCTCATACTCTCCTACTCACATGTGGACATCCTGCCGGTCTCCCAGCGGGCTGCTTCGTGGGCTGTCCTCCCTGTCTGTTCAGTCCCTCTCCATCCACCTTGGTCCCCTTTTACCCATTGTCGCAGTGCAGGACACCACTGTTTCCTGCTGGGTTTCTGCACCAGCAACTCATAGCTCAAGGTGAATATTAGTACGTTTTCTTCAAGGTCAGGAAGCCTATCGGAGGCCTGGTGCACTGGTGCCCTGTCTGTTCCCCACTGCCCTCCCGGTGCTGGTCACTCAAAGAACTACTGGGCACCGAGGGAATTGGCATGCATCCTCAACGTGGCGCCACCCACCCCACTCGCCCAGTATGATCCCTTCCTTATTCCACGGGAGGTTGGGGGAGCCCCTGGAGACAGCGATTGCAGTCACTTATTCCCAGCTTTTCAAAGTGGTTGAAACTCTCATGCCTTCCATCTTGACCCTTCCTATGCCGTTCATTCTAAAGTCAGATCTGATTAGGCCATTCATTTCCTTGCTTCAAATCTCTAACTGACTCCTCAGGGGTTTGAGATAAAAATATCAATCCTTTCATTTTGCTTGTAAAGAGTAATCTCAGGATCCAGTTCCTCCCAACTGCCCAAGAGCCCCTCTAGGGTCCAGGCAGATATAGGAGTGGCTCTCTGACTCAGCCAGGGAGGCCCTCCCCTCAGACTGCAGGTGGGCTGGGACCCTTGGTTCCTCTTGGCTGGGCTCAAACATCTGGGTATAGCTGGGAGATTTGACCACCAGCTACAAGCCTGCAGGTTGGTCAGGTAGCATTGCACTACCTGCCTCTTACCTTCCTTGTCCCCAGCCAGATGAGCTTCAGCCCAATCTCATAGCCCTGGCAGAAGTACAGACAACCCTCCCATCTGGGCCAAAAGCATTTTAATCCTTCGCCTGAGTCATAACCGCTATGCTTCCATTGGCCTAAAAGTCAGAGAGTGAAGTTCGAAGCCAAAGGTCCTGAGTGCGTGGCAGAGGAGTGTGTGGGTGAATGTTTCTGAACAAGAATCTAATGGGCTTGGTGCTTGCAGGAAACACGCTCTGAGCCTCTACAACCTTGTTGGGAGTTACACTCTACTCCTCCCTATGGTTCTCACCCATTTTATGGCTGTCTATGAACCAGGGAGCCCTGGTGGTATAGTGGATTACTACTTAGGCTGCTAACTTTAAGGTTATCAGTTTAAACTCACTAGCTGCTCCTTGGGAGAAAGACGAGGCTGTCACCTCCCATAAAGAGTTACAGCCTTGGAAACCCACAGGGGCAGTTCTACTCTGTCCTACAGGGTTGCTATGAGGCACAATTGGCTCGATGGCAGTGAGTTTGGCTTTTGGTTCAGTCCAAGAGCGTGTAAACTCTGAGGTTGGCATCTCAACCTGGCTGGTGCTCTCTGTGCACTCGGCACCACCCAGCACTGTGCTTGGAAGATAGTATGTGCTCCATAAATTTTGCCTGTAGGGTCAAGGAAGGGCACCTGCAGAGGAAACATCACAGATGATTAACAGGTCTTTCTTTAGTCCTGTGTTTCAGATTTGCAATGCCAAGGTGAAGGTGGCATTCAATCCATTCTGAGTAGCCATGCAGGATGGTTGTCAGGGGGTTAATGGGCACTATGTCCAGGAACAGATCCTGCTGTGCAGGGAAGAGATTTTCAAACGCAGGCTCCAGACCTTACGAATGAGGGGAAGTGACATCAGGAGAGGGGCAGGTGGCCATGATGACATCTGTCTGACCTTGGCCTTATCCCAGGTTTCTCAGAATGGAGAGAGATAGATTCCTTTCTTCGTGGTATTGAAGGGAAGCCCAGCCATCTGGGCAGGGTGTTCACCATCACTGGAAGAGACCTTTCGGTCAGGAGTTTCCACCATTCAATTGGCGACAAGTTTGTCCCTGCAAGTCCCTAGAGGCACCCTTTTGAAGACAGCTTTGCAAATCATTAGCTTCTGGAGAAAGTAGGTGCCTCTTCTCTTGTTTCTGTTTTTGTTTTTCTACTCACTCACTCACTCAATCGCTCACTCCCTGCCATCAGCTGATGGGGACTCATAGCTACTATAGGACATGGTAGAACTTCTTCGGTTGGTTTCCGAGACTGTAACTGTCTATGGGAGCGGAAGGCCCCATCTTCCTCACAAAATGTGCTTGGTGTTTTTGAACAGCTGACCCTTATAAGAAGGGTCTTACTAAATCCAGGGGAAAATGTGTGGCTGAATGAACTCTTGAAGCTTCTCTGCCCTGTGAACTTGGGGTGCACCAGTAATGGTTTCCACTTTACAAAGCTGGGAATAGGGATTTCCCAAGAATCCCCAGAAACAGACAAAGGTCTGGCCTTGGGCCGGGAAGACAGGTGACTGCACTCAGAAGGTGGCCCCAATCCTTTCCCAGTCTTTCTCTGGACAGCTATCACCGACAGGGTAGCAGTGAACGGACAAGCTCAACAGATCCTCTGCCAACGTTCCTGGCTGAGCAGATAATCTTCTCTTGAAGAAATCTCACTAGTGCTCACCCAGAGCTATGGAATGTCCTTGGTTGGTGTAGAAACTACCCCTTGAAGATGGGTGTTTTTATAGGTGGGTAGGAATTTTCAAATCCATTAGCTACTCGCCAACATGAGTAAGCCAAATTAGTTAATGCGGTGGTTCTCAACCTTCCTAATATCTCGACCCTTTACTACAGTTTCTCATGTTGTGGTTACCCCCAACCGTGACATTATTTTCATTGCTACTGTAATTTTGTTATAAATACAAAATAACTGTAATTTTGCTACTGTTAGGAATCGGGCGACCCCTATGAAAGGGTCATTCAATCCCCAAAGGGGTTGGGACCCACAGGTTGAGAACCACTGAGATCATGCCTAGTGTGTTTGCACTTCATGCACAGCTCTTGCTGGTTTTGTTGATACTGCCCAGGGCATTTGCATCCTGAGACTCAAGAACCCTGCAGCTTCTGCTGGAATTGTGGAAACCTGCCGAGAAGTTGTTATTCTGTTGAGTGCTTGTTCTCTGTCTCTCTGTCTCTCCCTATCTCTGTCACACACACACACACACACACACACACACACACACACACCCCTCTGGCTAAGCCCAGCTCCAGCCATATGTTACAACACAGCTAATCTAACACCCTATCTTCTCTGAGTGTAAAATGTGATTCATCTGATGTCCTAGGAAGCAGTGGCAGACCCAGAGGGTGTTGGACATTAACAGCAGTTTAAATAAATACCTCTAAAAAGCCAAAAGCACCACCCAGAGACGTAATTCGAGTGGCTGTGTTGGGTAGCTTGCTCAGCACCTGGCACGTCTCCAGCTTATGCTGCCCCTGCCCCCAGGAAACCACAGAGATCTCAAGGACATGCCCTTGGTCCAGTTAGAGGCAGATTGTGTCTTCTCCTGGTGGTGCACTGGGGAGAGGCCGGGTGAAGTTTGGTGGAGGCAGATAGAGGAGGAGAGTTCTAAGAGGAGGCACACCCTCTCCTCGTGTTTACCTGGGTCCACACATCCCTTACTTCTGACACTTTACACAGCCCGTAGGAGTCAGAATTGACTCCACCAATGCAGGTTTGGTGTTTGGGTTTGGGGACACAGCTCTAGGCCCACAGAGAGATTCTAGCAGTTGCCATCAAGGCCGGGCTGAGTCATGATGGCCCCATGGGTGCCAGAGAAGACTGGTGATCTGTAGGGTTTCCAATGACCCATTTTGTTGTTGTTGTTGTTGTTGTTGTAGGTCACCAGGCTTTTCTTCCATGGTGTCTCTGGGTAGATTAAAACCACTAACCCCCTTTCAAATATCAACCTGGCTCATTTAACCATTGGCCCCACCCAGGGACTCCCACAGGAGAGGAGATGGTGGCAATCAACCCCTTGCCCCTCTGGGCTTAGCTGGTGTGTGTGTGTGTGTGTGTGTGTGTGTGTGATATTAACACATCAATGGAGAGGTCACTAGGAGCTGTGGTGATGACATAGGGTGACCAGTTGGGCTGCCATCTGCAAGGCCTCCAGTTCGAAACCACTAGGCACTCCTCTTTAGAAAGACGGGGTTTCCTACTCTTGTCAAGAGTTGCCTCCTCAGAAACCCGCCAATTGCGTCCAGGGTACCCAGTGGGTCCTTTGGCGGGAGAGATCTCTGCGAGGATCCCGGGGAGAGTTTCTGGCTGTGAGAAGTGCGGTTCAGATGAGGTCGGAGAGGAAGCAGGACCCTGGAGAGCCAGGTGGTGCTAGGGTTAAGTGCGCAAAGTGGGTGGAGGCTTGAGCCCCATCCGCTGTGCGCTGGGCGATTGGCTCGCAGGAAGACTACGCGCCTCGGAAGCCCACTGAGGCTGGTCTAGGGTGCCCAGTAGGGCTTCAGGAGGGGGTGTCGAGAGGACAGGGAGCGTGAGACACAGGCCCCGTGGGAGGTGGGCACCACCAGTCGAGTGCCACTCTCTTGTACCTTCTGAGACGAGTGCCACTCTCTTGTGCCTTCTGAGACGAGTGCCGTGCTGCACGCCACGGTTCCAGGGCAGTCACCTAAAGGTGGCTCTTG